CCGCCGAAGCTGAAGTAAGTGAATCAAACAGTGAGGAAAGTCGGAGAAGGAAGGAAGCTCGCACCAAGAGAGAGCATGACGTCGCCTCTTTGCTTCGTCAGCAGAACAGTTTGATCGCCGAGGGCTTTGCGTTTGTGAAGGCGTAGTTCGTCACAGTGCATCAGAGGCTGGACCAGATTGAAGCCAGTTCAAGCCACAGAGACGAAGACGAAGAGGAGTCTGAAGAGGCCGAGGAGTCGGAGTGTGAGGAGTTCTAGTTTGTGTTGCGGTAACCCTGTTCGCTTCTCCCTTGTTGTTTCCTTCTTAGTTGTTGCTAGCTTGGTGAAAGGTTGTTGTTTGCCTTGCGTGCTTGTTTGTTTTGCTTGTTGTTTTGTTGTTTAGCTAGCTTAGTAAGTCGGTGTTTAGAGTTAGTTGATTAGTTCTTGGTTGTCGTCTAGAAGTTGGTGGTTGTGTTGAGGGTAGAGTTCTTGATGCTCAATCTATCCGTTTGCTTAACTCTTGACCGATCCTTGAATTCGAAATGCCTTCTTCTTTGCTTTGGAACCCTTGTGAGTACTTTTGGAGTTTTTGACCAAAAGGACTATTCTTGAATTTCTTGTCACAATTTCGTTTCCTTGTTACCATTCGCTTTTAATTCGTCGTACCCAAGCTTCGGGGACGAAGCTTCTCTGAAGGGGGAGAGGATGTGACACCCCAAAAATCCACATTTCAATCCATGAATTAATTGAGTAATTAATTCTATATCTTTTGAGGAATTGATTCCTAAAATCCTGATTTTTTATACTCAAGGACTAGAATTTGACTAGTCAACCTTTAAGTTGGGTTGTACCTTGTGCTTTGAGGGGAGTTCCCTTGTTCCTTACACATTCTAAGGGTTAGTAAGGGTATCCTTGTCTTTTCACCAAGAGTTAGTATTGTAACCTAACCTAGAAGACTTCTTCATTTCATTCCTTACAATTCCTAGAAAAATATCTCTACCTTCTCTCTAGAAAAGAAGTGTAGCTTATTCTCCAAGCCAAGTTGAGACCCTTGTCAAGATTCTAAGTTTTGCTTCCAAGATTCAACCTTTCACCTATTTGGCCATCTAGGAGGGTAAGATATAAGCTTGTCTTGCGTTTTTGGTGCCATCTTAGTTGTCTTTTTCTTAAAGGTAGGATCTTTATGATCTTTTAGTTTTATCTCGAAGTGGGTTTGGAAAGTGAGCCTAGTGGAGAGCTTGTTGTGGTGTAAAGTGAAGTCTTTTGGTCTTCAAGAGGTAACCCATGCTCTACAAAACCTATTTTTCTTACCTATATGTGATTTCTTGGATTCTACTTGTGTTTTGCTATGAAATGTGAGGGTTTATGCATTTATCTTGTGATATTGCATATCTAGAGCTTGTGTTTAGGGTTCATTTGTGCCATTGCTTGGCATTTTCCATGGTTCAAGTCATTTTGTTGTGTTGGGTGAGATTTGGCATCTTTTGGACTTGAATTTGTGTTTGGAGAAGAAAATCCCCGAAGGGATTTGTTGTGGAATAGGGATGTTCCCGCGGGCGGAACGGCGGGCGGGGCACCACCCGCCGGCCTACCCGCGGGTACATAGGCCTGTGGGGTAGTGTACCCGCGGGCGGGACCACGGGTGGGGCACTACCCGTGGCTCCACCCGCGGGGAACACGATGGTATTCGTTCGGGATTTGATCCCCGTGATTTGTTTGTCTTAGTATTTGATCTTTTGGCTTCCCGATGTTCTTGTGTGGAACTATTTGAGCGTCTTCTTGATGTTTCGTAGCTCTAGAACTATATGGTAGGTATCCATGTAGGACTTTGGTGTCTTGAATCGTGCTAAGTGTTCAACATTGTTTTTCGTTGGACCAAGAGGTGTCTTGTGTGTTCCTCGGAACTATCTTGAGTTTCCCCGTTGTTAAGCATGCTAGTTCGTTGTCTTAATACTAGCGTGTGTGTGGTTTGTACCTTCCGTTTGGTGATGATAACTTGTGTTATTCATCGTTGTTGTTGTTGGGCTGTGACCCGTTCCTTGATTGAGTATGTTTCATACCTTCATTGCAATCCGTTGATTGATTCCTGTTGAGGTGTGGTGTGTGTGGCTTTACCTGGATTACACGATTAGTGGTATGGGACACTAGTCACCAAGGTATTGCAGCGGTCCTCGTGGTGGCCGTGACGTGATTATGGAGTGTGACCTGTGTGTCAGGTTCACGTATTTCTTGGGTAAGGCGTGTGTCGCCGAGGCGTGTATCGCCATGTGTGTGAAATTGGTGGTTTTGTTGGTGGTCTGTTGGTGGGGGACGACGGTCCCAGGAGGGAAAAGGTTGGACTAAGAAGTACAGGGGTTCCTTGAGGTAATGGTTGGAAAGAAGATACAAGGTTGGGGGTAGCAATAAGGTTGGAACAGGGCATAAGGCAGGTATACCAACTCGTGATGGGTGATGTTGCGAGGGCTTGTAAAGCCGGCGTTGTGTAATCTTCTCTCGTGACGTGTGTAGTCACGGAGGCTTGTGTTGTTTGGCATGTGTTGCCGTTGGGTGAATCTTTATCCTTGCGTGTGGTTAACCTTTGTGGTTTGGGATGTGTTCCCGGTGTTATATTTGTGAGTGGTGAGTCCTGTTTTAACTATTGATCTTGGCTTTTGACTTATATACTTATGTATTCCGTTTCGAAAATGGTTTTTATGACTTATATCTATCTATATATGATACTTAACGGTATTGGTGGGTTCCCAGCATTATTCGCTGACAGGGCGTCGTCCCAATGTTTATCTTTGTATATTTCAGGTGATGTTTAAACGAGCGCGATGTCTAGAGCCTGGTAGCTTAGCTCCTTTACCTTTGTGGTTTTTTGTGGCCTGTGCGCCAATGTAGTTAGATAGACTGATGTTTGGGATAGATGTAAACTTGCAGATTTTTTGCCGTAGCGTTTACCGTGTTTGGTGGACGTGGCGTGACATCCCGTTGGATTTCTTTTTATCCAGTTTCGTTTTTATCTTCCGCTGTGCTAGTTTTGTCGCTTAATCTGCATGTGTTTAAGGCTTTTATATAGGTCTTGTTTGGGGGGTGTTACATTTCCCCATTTGACACGCATTACACAACGAAGATAAACGACCAGACTGACTAACTGAACAAGACTTCAAGATGTGACTCTGAACCCGCTGATGAGGATGACCTAAACACCCATGCCAGATAGAAGCAGACGTACAAGCAGACAAGAATTCAGATGAAGACGAAGAGGACACTGGAAGAGAGTACAAGCCATTCGAGCTTTTACTCTGTAGAAGAACCTCCCTGGTTATGGAATCCTTCACAACAAAATATGACGGGTGAAATTCAAAGAACACATTATTTTTGGAAGCAAACTTCTGAACAGAAAGTAAAGACGCAGATAATTTGGGAACATGAAGAATACGAGACATAATAAATGTCCTAGAGGGGGTAGAAAATGAAGTATGACCAACACTAGAAATTGACAAGGCCTTACCATTACCGATACGTAAAGTGTCATTACCCATATAATCCTCGGACGCAGTGAGAGCATGAACATTAGGTATAGCATGATCTGTAGCACCCGTGTCAGGGAACCAACTCTGAGACGCCAAAGTGGTACCTGTGCCAGAATCATCATGATACACCATATTTGCCTGAGCACCATCCGAGTATCGACGATAACAAGTGACGGCAGTGTGCCTCACCAGGTCACAAATTTGACAACGATGTCCGTTACGGGAGCGCTAATTATGCCCACGTCCACGTCCACGCATGTTCTGCCCATTCTGATTCTGCTCGGAGCAACCACGTGTACACTGCGTAGAACCACGTTTTCCACCTCCACGCCAAATCTGCCCGGAGCCGCATCTGCCAGAACCATACCGACAACTACCTCGACGTGCCACATTAACAACCGGCGCACCACCAGCAACCACCGAGATATCATCCACCATCAAGAACTCCTGGTCGCCAAGGAAGTCCGCCAACTCTTCCAAGGTCGTCGGCGTCGTACGGGTGGAGAGAGAAGCGGTGAGTGACCTGTACTCCTGTCACAATCCACGCAGTACGTACAAGTTTTGCTCCACTGTCAACATAGGCCGGCCAACAAGCACCAAATCTTCAATAATCAACCACGCGTTACCCAAGTAATCAACTACAAAGGCGTCACCTTGACAGAGGATCTGCAACTGGCCTAGCAAATTAAGCCCTTGCTCGTGAGGAAGATGCCAATGCCGTTTCGATAGCCACCTAGACCTCCATGGATGACCGGCGACCTACTGCTAGGTGTTGGTCTCGGTAGGATCGAAAGGAGAGTCTAGAGGGGGGGAGGGGTGAATAGACTCTACTCGAGACTTCGCGAGCTACATCTGAGTTTCCGTTTGGTGGTAGTGGTGGTCGGTTATTGTTATGGAGGATGGCGTTGCTAAGTGTCTAGGCGACCTGAGTTAGTTGCTGTAGATTCTGAACTAGTGATTCGTGGGCGGAGGGTTCAGGGGTCCTTGACTGACTTCTTGTCGGTGCCATTCTGGTGTTTTACAGGGTCAATGTCGATTGTAATGGTAGGTTAAGGGTTCGCATCCTTACCTTGATGCTATAATTATAGGGAACCTTTAAGCTAAGCAAAGGATAGAGTGAGGAGAAATTAGGCAGATAATGATAGATAAACTCCCAGCCTCACCGCTCGTCCTAAGTATTCAAGCACCTAGAGTTATGGCTTAGCATCTTAAGGTCTTAGACTTAGAGTACTATCCTATATGCAGCTTAGATTCTTAGAGTCTAATTCTCAAGTATGTATGTACCTAGAGTTCGAGCATAATGTCCTAAAGTATTGTCTTAAGGGTCTCATCCTAGCTAGAGTCGAACTTAGGCTCTGATACCAACTATAACACCCCTAAATTTGAGGTATTTAAAACTTATAAAATAAAGGCGAATCCATTGATTGATTCCCAAACAGAGCATAAAACTATTCATAGGAGTCGGGGTGTTATGTCACACCTAAGTTTGAGAACCTAGGTGCACAGGCTAAACTAACTAAGCATAAGAAATCCTCAAATCGATATTCAATACAATCCCAAGGCACGCAGGCCAACTACTGAGCTAAGACTAACTAAGCCAAGTCCAAGGCTCTGACTAGCGCGCTCCGAAGCTAAAGCTCATCACCTGAAAACCATTCGGTATAACAACCGTCAGCGAACAATGCAGGTAACCCACTCCAACGCGTTAAGTACGATATAGGTAGATATAAGAAACTCATTTTGAAATTGGAATACATATATACTTACGAGACTCTAATTTAAATCCAAGTTCAAGACCCAGGGCATATTAACAGACTCAATATCATAGAATAATTATGAGAACTAATAGACACCCTAAACACGCAATGCAAGACATAACAGACAGATAAGCATGCAAATAACTAAGGCATTCAATACAATCAATTAGCAAGTAGGCAACAAAGCACACAATTCATCCTCCAACCCTATACCAAGTTCCAACCTTGTAGCTCCCATCCGTCCTTATATCAGTTCCAACCTATACCTCCAGGCCACTCTTATATTCCAACCCCTTATGCCTCCGGGTAACTACATGCCCCTACCGACAAACCACCTTTCAACCACCAACATATCAAGATGGTGCCGCAGTGCCATTCAATGATCCGCACCTCTAGTGCCAATATCAAGGGGTTAGCGCATATAGCTCTAACATGACACCGCAGCACTTATAACCTGACCTATGCTCAACGGCAAGCTAGTCAAAGGTGGGTGTGTGCCTTTACCAGTCACCGCTATGGCCTGTACCTTTAGTACAATGACCGTGCACAAGTGGTGCCAACCGCCAACAGTTTATTTTCCACCAATCACATTCTCAACATCATCATTATCATCATTCACACTGGTCATTGCTCAATGACCACAATACTCATCATCATTCAATCAATCAACACATAATCACATAACAATCAAGACACAACAACAACGACACGTATTACACATAAAATCCTAGAACGATGCCTAAAACACCAAACGAGACTCATACACGACAAACGGAGTACAACGGGACAAGGGGAAACAACAAACTGGAGAAAACATCACGACGCACCGCCAATTTCCAGCGGGTGGAGGACAACCCGCCGGCGGCGGTACACAATCCAACAGGTGCCCGGTGGGCAGTCGCCTGCCCGCTGGAGATCGGGCAAGGGCAGCGGGTAGGTGGCGGGCACCCCTGCCCCCACCTACCCCCCACTTGTGACACCCCGTAAATCCAAACTCTAGTTAAGGATTAATTAGAGAATTAATCCTAGTCTTATTGTTAATTTATTTCAAAAAATCCTGAAAATTCAATAGTCGGAGGACTAGAATTTGACCATTCAATCAAGGTCAAAGAGTTGTACCTTATGCTTAGTGGGTTGTTCCCTTATTTCCTTATTCTTCCAACTTTAGTAAGGGAAAAGATGTCTTTCTACCAAAAGTTTGTGCTCCAAGCTAACCTAGCATCATCTCTTCATTTCATCCACCAACAATCTAAACACAAAACCTCCACCTTCTCTCTAAGAATTTGGTAGCTTCTTCTCCAAGCCAAAATTCGGCATCCTAAATCTTACAAGTTGTCTTCCAAGATTCCTACTTTCCTAATATTGAGCATAGGGGAGGGTAAGATCCTTTATCACTTGGTGTTTTTAGCATCTTTTTAGTTGTCTTTTTCTAAAAATAGAATCTTTGTTGTCTTTTGGTTTGTTTATGAAGTTGGTGTTGAAGAAGGGCTTTAGGAGAAACTTTCTAAGGGTGAGAAAGTGAAGTTTTAGGCTACAAAGGTAACCCATGCTTTACAAAACCTATTTTCTTACTTATATGATGATTTCTTGGCTTCTACATGTGATTCTCGTGATGAAATGTGAGATTTGATGCATTGTCTTGTGGTAATGCAAGTTTAGAGCTTGTTCTTAGGGTTTTTGTATGCCATTGCTTGGTTATTTCTTGGATTCAAGTCATATTCTTGTATTGTGTGAGATTTTGGGTGTTTTGGACTTGAATTTGGACTTGTTGAAAATTGTAACACCCCCGATTTCCATACCAATTTAAACTTAAACATGTAGATAATTCTAACCATAAAAGCATACACAGCGGAAGACTAGATATGGAATATATGGAAAACGTAGAGTGCTATGCCACGCTCACTCAATGGTGAACGCACAGGCGTAAACATCTGCACAAAATCCACTATCCAAAATAAAGTCAAGGACAGAAGGACTCAAGTCTAACATCGGCGCACGGGCCAAAACATAACAAAGTTCAAGGGGTCTAATCTAACAGTCTCTAGACCGCGCTCTCGTCTACTTCGCACCTGAATGAAACACATAAAATATGAGACGACGCCCGGTCAGCGAATGATGCTGGTAACCCACCAATACATGTGAAATATCATATGCAGATAGTTTATATATACAAAATCATTTGCGAAATGGCATATAGTATATATATCAATTTCGAAGCCAAGATAGAAGTCAAACACAAGACTCTTTGCACTCACAATAACGCTAAGGGAACACATCCCAAGACACCAAGAAGCAATAACAACTCACAGGACGACTCAATGCATAATCTACCATCACACAGTAGATTAACACCCGACATGCATAACACAAGAGAAAGAAAGACTCAACCATTGGCAACACATGCCTTTGTGAAAACACATGTCACAAATAGAGAATCACACACACAACGGCTACACAAGCCTTCGTGACATCACCCATCACGAATTGAGATGCCTTCCTTATGCCCGGTTCCAACCTTATGGCTACCCCCAACCTTATAGCTAGTTCCAACCTGTACCTCCAGGACCCCTGTACACCAAGTCCAACATTTTCCCTCCGAGGACCGTCGTCCCCATCCGCCAACGACCGCCAACAAATCCACCAATTTCATAGTACACGAGGGTACCAATCACACACATGGCAACACATGCCTCCCAAGAAATACGTGAACCCGACACACAGGTCACAAACTCCATAATCGCGTCATGGCCACCACGAGGACCACTGTCGTACCTTGGTGACTAATGTCCCATACCATTAATCGTGCAATCCAGGTACAGCCACACACACCACACCACAACAAGAATCAATCAACGGATCACAACGAAGATATGAAACCATACTCAATAAGGAATGGATCACAGTCCAACAACAACGATTATTAACACAAGTCATCATCAATCAATAAGAAAGGACAAACAACCCACATGCTAGCATTTAAACACCGAACTAGCATGCTTATCAAACGGGTAAACCAACATAGTTCCGAAGAACATACAAGACTCATCATAGTTCAACGAATCACAATGTTGAACACTTAGCACGATTCAAGACACCAAAACCAACATGGATTCCTACCATATAGTTCTAGACATACGAAACATCAAGAAGACGCTCAAATAGTTCCACAAAAGAACATCGGGGAGTCAAAAGACCAAATACCGAGTCAAAAGAATCACGGGGAACAAATTCCCAAATACCAACATATAAGTACCCCGCGGGTGGAGCCACGGGTTGACCCCCACCCGTGGTTCCTCCCGCGGGAACCACCTCTTCAACCCGCATTCCCCGCGGGTGGGGCGGCGGGTAGGCCACCGCCCGCAGGTACGTTGTCCTGTACAAAATAATCCCTTCAGGGATTTTCAACACCATGCTCAAATTCAAGTCCAAAACATGCCAAATCTCACCAAATACAACAAAATGACTTGAATCAAAGGAATAGTCAAGCAATGGCATACAAGAACCCGAAACACAAGCCCTAGATATGCATTTTCACAAGACAATGCATAAACACTCACATTTCATAGCAAAACACATGCAGAATCCAATAAATCATCATATAGTTAAGCAAAATAGATTTTGTAGAGCATGAGTTACCTCTTGTAGACAAAAATCTTCACTTAACACTTCACCAAGCTCCTAATAGGGTTCTCCTTCCACACCAACTTCAAGAACCCACCAAAAGATCATAAAGATTCTATCTTTTAGGAAAGACACCTTAGAAAACACTAAAAACACAAGATAAACATAGATCTTACCCTTTTAGATGCTCAAAGGTTGGAAAGGTGGAATCTTGAAGACAAACTTTGAGGATTTGGAAAAGCTCCAACTTGGCTTGGAAGAAAAGATATCTAACTTTTAGAGAGAAGGAGGAGCTCAAGTTTAGAAAGTGTCCTCTAGGTTAGCTTGCAATTCTAACATAGGGTGAAATGTCTTTATTACCCTTACTAAAATGAAGAGGTGTAAGGGAACTAGGGAACCACTCACAAAGCTTTAGGTACAACATTTGACTTTGGGTTGACTAGTCAATTACTAGTCCCCGACTATAGAATTTTCAGGAATTTAAGGAATTAAATTATCAATTGGATTAGGATTAATTAATTAATTAATCCCTTAATTGAATTTAGATTACGGGGTGTCACAAAAATCCCCGAAGGGATTATTTTTGGAGTACAGGTGTACCCACGGGCGGAACGACGGGCAGGGCACCACCCGCCGTCCCACCCGCGGGGAACGTGACTCGTGGGTTTGTGTACCCGCGGGTGGAGGTCCACCCATGGCCCCACCCGCGGGGAACATTGTTGGCAATGTGCGGGGATTTGTTCCCCATGATTCTTTTGGCTCGGTATTGATGTTTTGACCTCCCGATATTGTTTTATTGGGCTATTTGTGAGTCTTTGTGATGTTTCATATGTCTAGAACGGTATGTTAAGAATCCATGTAGGATTTGGTGTCTTGAATCGTGCTTGTGGTCCAACTTTGTGATTCGTTGGATTGATGTTGAGTCTTGTATGTTCTATGGAACTACTTTTGGTTTACCCGTTTGATAAGCATGCTAGTTTGATGTTGAAATGCTAGTGTGTGCGGTTTGTTCTTTCCTATTGAGATTGGCAACTTGTGTTGACCATCGTTTGGTGTCGGATTGTAATCCTTCGTTGTTGAGTATGGTTTCATATCTTTGTTGTGATCCATTGATTGATTCCTATGATGTGAACGTAT